GTGGCAGCATCATGCTGTGGGGGTGCTTTGCTGCAGGGACTGGTGCACTTCACAAAATAGATGACATCATGAGGAAGGAAAATGATGTGGATATATTGAAGCAACATCTCAAGACATCAGTCAGGAAGTTAAGGTTGGTCGCAAATGGGTCTTCCAAATGGACAATGACCCCAAGCATACTTCCAAAGTTGTGGCAAAATGGCTTAAGGACAACAAAGTCAAGGTATTGTAAGTCGCTCTGGATAAGAGCGTCTGCTAAATGATGTAAATGTAAATGTAAATGTATTGGAGTGGTCATCACAAAGCCTTGACCTCAATCCTATAGAACATTTGTGGACAGAGCTGAAAAAGTGTGTGCGAGCAAGGAGGCCTACAAACTTGATTCAGTTACACCAGCTCTGTCAGGAGGAATGGGCTAAAATTCACTCAACTTATTGTGGGAAGCTTGTGGGAAGGCTACCCGAAACGTTTGACCCAAGTTAAACAATTGAGTGTATGTAAACTTCTGACCCACTGGGAATGTAATCCAAGTTTAACATTTTAAAAGGCTAATTGATCATTAGAAAACCCTTTTGCAATGATGTTAGCACAGCTGAAAACTGGCCTTCTTGAGACTAGTTAGTATCTGGAGCATCAGCAATTGTGGATTCGATTACAGGCTCAAAATTCTTCTGAAACTCGTCAGTCTACTCTTGTTCTGAGAAATGAAGGCTATTCCATGAGAGAAATTGCCAAGAAACTGAAGATCTCGTACAACGCTGTGTACTACTCCCTTCACAGAACAGCGCAAACTGTCTCTAACCAGAATAGATAGAGGAGTGGGAGGCCCCGGCGCACAACTGAACAAGAGGACAAATACATTAGAGTGACTAGTTTGAGAAACTGACGCCTCACAGGTCCTCAACTGGCAACTTCATTAAATAGTACCCGCAAAACACCAGTCTCAACGTCAACAGTGAAGAGGGATTCCGGGATGCTGACCTTCTAGGCAGAGCTTCATGAAATGGGTTTCCATGGCCGAGCAGCCGCACACAAGCCTAAGATCACCATGCGCAATGCCAAGCGTCAGCTGGAGTGGTGTAAAGCTCGCCACCATTGGACTCTGGAGCAGTGGAAATGCGTTCTCTGGAGTGATGAATCACGCTTCACCATCTGTCAGTCCGACGGAATAATTTGGGTTTGGCGGATGCCAGGAGAACGCTGCCTGCCCCAATGCATAGTGTCAACTGTAAAGTTTGGTGGAGGAGCAATAATGGTCTGGGGCTGTTTTTCTTGGTTTGGGTTAGGCCCCTTAGTTCCAGTGAAGGGAAATCTTAACGCTACAGCATACAATGACATTCCAGACAATTCTGTGCTTCCTACTTTGTGGCAACAGTTTGAAGAAGGCCCTTTCCTGTTTCCGCATGACAATGCCCACGAGCACAAAGCGAGGTCCATACAGAAATGGTTTGTCGAGATCGGTGTGGAAGAACTTGACTGGCCTGCAGAGAGCCCTGACTTCAACCCCATCCAACACCTTTGGGAAGAATTGCAACGCCGACTGCGAGCCAGGCCTAATCGCCCAACATCAGTGCCCGACCTCACTAATGCTCTTGTGGCTGAATGAAAGTCCCTGCAGCAATGTTCCAACATCTAGTGGAAAGCCTTTCCAGATGAGTGGAGGCTGTTATAGCAGCAAAGGGGGGACCAACTCCATATTAATGCCCATGATTTTGGAATGAGATGTTCGACGAGCAGGTGTCCACATACTTTTGGTAATGTAGTGCATATTGTTTTGCTTGATAATTATGTAATTGAATAAAGCACTTTTTGAATAAAGCAAACTAAACCTGAGTCTGTGTGATTGACAGGAGCGATGATTACAGCGTCAGAATTTTTACCACCATCATTAAGGAAAGGGCTGAAGTATGGGTAGCGTTTCTCAGTGAAGGTGCAGCCAGTGAAATAGTATATACTGTATGAGACCTGGCCTCCACGTCATAAAAGGAGACATGACCCTCCTCAAAATTCACAAACACTCCCACCTTCTGGGGCTTCTCTCTCAGGAGGAGGGGGACTGAGGGCTCATCAAGAGCTTCATTCCCGTTCCTCAGCCACATAGTCCAGAATCCATACTCAGGTCGCAGGCAAATTGCACCCTTCCTGTTGGACTCTTTGGCCACTCCAAAATCCCAATTAGTCTTCACCTTGACCTGCACCTCATAGTAAAATCACCCAAAGGAGAAGCCCTCCTTTCCCAGGACACTGACACACTCCATTTCTCACTTCTTTCCTGTCCTTAGACAGAAAGAGATGGGGATGTGCTGTATCAGGGTCTAGAGTCACATCCATTGACCACTGCTGAATCCATTTCAGTTCAGCATCTAAGAACATCTTCACTTCACTCATGCATGTCTGCTCCAGTTTAGCCACAGCTGTCCTTACAGTCCCTATGCCCAGACTGCTGTGATCACTGATCTCAGACTAGTCCTTGTTGGGAGGAAGGCTGCAGAAGGATGTGGAGCTCTGGAGGAGTTGGATGTGGTCCTCAGCATGTGACAGCTGCTTTAGCTTAGTGCATCTCTTCTGTAGCTCAGTGATTTCCTGCTCCTCAATCACCTTAATGAGCTCAACCAGAGCATTGAAGACCTAAATGCTGTCCGCTATCTCTCTCTCTGCATTGTACTTGCTAAGTTCTACTGAGTGTTTGATCTCCTTAACCTTCTGAAGTCGCTCCTGGATCATCTGCTGCACTTCTGCCTCTGTCTGCCCAAGCTGAGCCTTTTTCTTTGCATACTCTTCCTCTAGAAACACAGTGTAGTGAGTCTTGTGGTCTGTTTTTCTTGCATAAGACACAAACACATGTCTGGTCAGTCCTACAGAACAACTCCAGGAGTTTGTCGTGCTCCTTACACATCCTGTCTTCCAGGTTCTCCACAGGGTCGATCAGCCTGTGTGTGTTCAGGTCTGCAGGGCTGGGGCTATCTGATTTGACTGCAGGTGAGTCTCACAGTAAGAGGTCAGGTACTCTAGGCATGACTTCAAGGCCTTGAGCTACTGCCCTATATACATAGACTTGAAATCATTGGCCACTTAAAAATGGAACACTAGTCACTTTAATAATGTTTACATATTTTGCATTACTCATCTCATATGTATATACTGTATTCTATTGTATTGTACTGTATTTTAGTCTATGGCGCTCAGACATTGCTCGTCCAAATATTTTTATATTCTTAATTCCATTCCTTTACTTTAGATTTGTGTGTATTGTTGTGAAATTGTTAGATATTACATGTTAGATATCACTGCACTGTTGGAGCTAGCATTTCGCTACACCCGCAATAATGTGTATGTGACCAATAACATTTGATTTGATTTGTGTCTGTGATTGCGATCTCTGTTCGTTCTGTTTGTGAAAGAGGTCTGGAGAATATATAGTTATTTAACACTAGAAAAGCCTGGAAGAGCAGGAAAGGGAGGAGCATCCTACTCAGTGAATGTCATAACAATTAAAATAGTGAAACATAAAAATGAGAAACTATACTAAATACTATATATACACGTCAAAGAATAACAGACTAAAACACACTCTTTTGCAATGAAGGTCCACAGTAGCCTCAACAGCACACTCTAGGGTAGCACCATGGTGTAGCCAGAGGGCAGTTATTTTCCATCCTCCTCTGGGTACACTGACTTTTAAATACAAAACCTAGGAGGCTCATGGTTCTCACCCCCTTCCATAGACTTACACAGTAATTATGACAACTTCCGGATGACGTCCTCCAACCTATCAGTGCTCTTGCAGCATGAACTGACATGTTGTCCATCCAATCAAAGGATCAGAGAATTAATCTAGTACTGAAAGCATAAGCTACAGCTAGCTAGCACTGCAGTGTATAAAGACTGGTGAGTAGTTGACTCAAAGAGAGAGAAAGACAATAGTTAAACTGTTTTGAACAAATTCATTTCTTCAAAAATTAAGGAGAAGCAGCAGAGAGCGAGAGATATTTAGTTGTATTTTTTCTTCTTCTTAGTTTACGTTTCACTTACTTAGCTAGCTAATGCAGCTATTTTAGCCTACTCAACAACCTGGAATGCTTGCTAGCTGACTAAGGCTATCCAACACTGCAACTTTTCCAAGTCAAGGTAAGCTTTCGGTTTTATAAATGTATTGCCTACGGGGCCCGCCCGTGTTACTGCTAAACTGCTTGTTGTAAACTGCTTGCTGTACACTGTACTGCGTGATTGTACACATGGATGGGATTGTGGGTTTACTAACGTGTTAGTTCTAGTAGCTATGTTGACTATGGCGTTAGCTAATATAGTGACAACGATGTAGGCTATGTAGCGGTTATGGTATGAAGGTTTGGCTTGGAGAGTTTTTTTTACCTGGTCACAGACAGCTGTTGTGTTGTGCACTGAAGTCCACAAGCGAAGGGAAAAGGTTAGAGGAGGACAGTGCGTAGATGGGAGAAGGAATTATACAATGAGCAAAGTGATGACGCTGTATGTGGCTGCTATGAAAGTGACTGTGCGGTTGATCAGGGGTGTATTCATTCCGTCGATTCTGTTGCAAAACATTTCTTAAACGGAAGCAAATGGAATGAAACAGGGATGGACCTACCTGAATTTGTCCAATAGAAACTCTTGTTTTAGTTGAGCTAATGATTACACCCCAGATCAGCTGGGCAAGGCAGTATTGAATGTGTCACTGTCTGTCACCTTGATTACTCCAATTTGTCTGTCGACCTGTGCACCTTCGTTAGAAACTTTTATTCGTAGGCTAGGTTGTAGCAACCTCATGATGGGTATAGGGCAAATTTGAGTATAATGTAGTAGCCTAAACCTATCGATGTTACATCGAACTGGGTGATTGGAATATGAATGACAATCATCCAATATGCTGTAATATAATAAAAATCCTCCTCCTAATCTTAAATGGCACCGACCGCCACTGACACACACACACAAAAACACAAACTCACCTTTTCCAGTCCTTCCTCCTTTAGACTGATTACGTCCAGGTCGAAGTCTGTCCTCAGTCCGTTAGTTTTGTTGAAGAGGATGCGTCCAGTCAAGCCATCCCAATGGGCCTATAGAGAGGGGCACACATACGCATGCAAACACACACCAACCACCTAATTCAACTCAAAAACAAAGTCCAATGTGTCCAACTTGTATCCCTCAATTACCCATAATCCTACATGCTCTTTCATTATATTTAGATCCACAAACCAATTAGCTAGACATTCCGCCTGGCTCTCTCTACACTCTCTGCATTTAAATACAACAAGATACAATAGAGACGAGCACCACAGAGGCTTTTTGATAGGTATAAGAGTTAATTACACAGTGAAGTTGGTTGTGCTTGAAGTTTTACTTCAAAGTGATTGGAGGATCAGAGAGACGGCGCAGGGAGAGATATGAGAGACTAAAGGGAAAGGGAGGGAGGGAGGAGGAGGGAGACAGTACATTTTTATTTAAGCAGGGAGTCATGCAGAGACCACGGTCTCTTTTGCAGTTGAGCCCTGAATGAACACATCAATAAACAACAATTACACTATACATATCTATATACACATCAATTATAGAATACATGAAAAGCAAACACAAAACACGAAAAACAAAACACAATCATATGAAACGAACACATTCTTCAGTAAAAATGCCCTCCAACATCGATCCCTGTGGGACACCCTTTGTTATGTCCAGAAAACCTGATTTAACACCATCATTAAATACTGTGTTCTGTCCTTTAAATAATTTTCAAACAAGCTTCTCGCAGCCTGGTCCAGGCCAATTGATGAATTCCTCTGAATAAGTAATAACAGTGTCGAAGGCTTTAGACAGGCCAATAAAAACGGCCGCACAGTGTTTCTTCTTATCCAAACAATTAAGAACATAATTATTTTAAAATCATAGATCTAGCATGGATGGTGCTTTGACCTGGACTGAAACCTGACTTCTGTACATTTATAATACATTTCGTAGTTAAAAAGGATCTAGGAATGTCTGCTAGGCAAGAAAATGGCGCAATAATTATTTAGGTCACACGGGTCACCACCTTTGTGAAGGGGGAGTATATGGGCTGCTTTCCAGACCCTGGGCATGGTATCAGGAGTAATTATAAGGTAAAACATATGTGTTAAAGATTCTGCAATCAGAGGAGCAGAAAGCTGCAGCAAGAAAGGATCAAGCAAATCAGCCCCAGTGGATTTTTAAACATCAATCTTATGCGAGGCGCCTAGGACATCACAAGTAGAAAGTTGTTGAAATTAAAGCATAGATTCACTAGAAGTTGACAGAACTTCCATCGAACCAACTAAAGGCTGGGACAGGGGAAAGCAGTCGACTGGCTGACCAGGGTCAATTAAACCACCAATTCTTTCAAGTAAAAAGCCTGCTGAGATAAAATGCTGATTAAAAGCATCACTTACCAAATTTTTCTCAGTAATGATGCCAGAATCTGGCACAACTTCCTTAGGCAGGGAAGGAGAGGAATTTCCACGCTTCAGTGCATTAACTGTTTTCCAAAATGTTGACGTATCACCAGCAGAATCTGAGATAGAACTTAGAAAGTAACTAGACTTAGCTTTTTTGATTGAAGAAGTGCATCTATTTCTCAATTGCCTGAAAACTGACAATCAGCTACAGAGTCAGTTTTTCTAGCTTTGGCCCAGGCCCGATTTCTCATCATAACAAGATCGGACAGTTCTATAGAGATCCAAGGATTTGTTCTATGTTTTACTTTAAGTAGTTTAAAGGGAGCATGTTTGTCTGCCAGAGAGATGAAAAATAGAGCTAATTCAGGGTCAGGCATGCAGCTGAGTCAGAGCAATACATATCACAAAGAAAAGCAAAAAAAATGTATTGCTTCATAATTATACGAGGATCAGTGTTCATCTGTTTGGTATATCTAAAACTGTACATGCAACAGGACAGTGATCTCACAATTAAGGCGCTCTCGTCTACAAAGCGAATGGCTGACCTTAGCGAGCGACTTTCGAAAGATGTACGGTGGCTTTGATATAGACACACCCAGTGAAAATGCGGGAACAATTATTCAGATGTATTCTCATTGGTTCACTGCATATTGAAGTCTGAATTTAAAGCCTTGCAGAAGCAGCATTTAGGCAGAACGGCTCGGGCACTGACAAGGAAGGTTATCAGACACTGAGAAAGTGGCAGAGCTCTGGCCGCATCATGGACAGAAAACACTGACTAGAGTAACAGGGAAGTGCACAGTTAACTACACTGAACAAAATATAAATGCAACATGTAAAGTGTTGGTCCCATGTTTCATGAGCTGAAATAAAAGATCCCAGAAATGTACCATACACACAAAAAGCTTACCTCTCTCAAATGTTGTGCACAAATTTGTTTACATCCCTGTTGGTGAGCATTTCTCCTTTGCCAAGATAATCCATCCAGCTAACAGGTGTGGCATATCAAGAAGCTGATTAAACAGCATGATCATTACACAGGTGCACCTTGTGCTGGGGACAATAAAAGGCCACTAAAATTAGCAGTTTTGTCACACAGCACAATGCCACAGATGTCTCAAGTTTTGAGGGAATGTGCAATTGGCATGCTGACTGCAGGAATGTCCACCAGAGCTGTTGCAAGAGAAGTAAATGTTCATTTCTCTACCATAAGCCACCTCCAATGTCATTTTAGGGAATTTGGTAGAATTTGGTAGTATGTCCAACCACAGACCACGTGTGTGGGCAAGCGGTTTGCTGATGTCAACGTTGTGAACAGAGTGTCCCATGGTGGCGGTGGGGTTATGGTATGGGCAGGCATAAGCTACTGACAATGAACACAATTGCATTTTATCGATGGCAATTTGAATGCACAAAAATACCTTGACGAGATCCTGAGGCCCATTGTGAGGCCCATTTTTTTAATGCATATCTGTATTTCCAGTCATGTGAAATGCATAGATTAAGGCCTAATTAATGTATTTCAATTGACTAATTTCCTCATATGGACTGTAACTGAAATTGTTGCACATTGCGTTTGTATTTTTGTTCAGTATATTTTCCACTGGACTGGATTTTGGATTTTAAGGAAAGGACTTTTTGGATTTCCCCACCCCTTAAACTGGAGAAAGACTTTTTCCCTTTTTGTGGCCTAAATTTGTACCTATTTATCTGTGTTCAAAATAAATGTCCATACTTTTTGAATCTCTGCCTCGTGTTTTTGGCCACTGTTGTGGTTCCCAACTGGTTACTCTTATCAAACCTGAATATTTAGAGTCCTGGTGCTCAAACTCTCCACCAGGTGACATAGTCGGTACTTTATGGCAACCATACATGTGCTCGCACGGATGCATGCACATACACACACAAACACACACACAGTACATACTGTAGACATACAGTACCAGTCAAAAGTTTGGACACACCTACTCATTCAAAGGTTTTTCTTTATTTTTACACTTTTCTACATTGTAGAATAATAGTGAAGATATCAAAACTATGAAATAACACATATGGAATCATGTAGTAACCAAAAAAGTGTTAAACAAATCAAAATATATTATTCAAAGTAGCCACCCTTTGTCTTGATGACAGCTTTGCACACTCTTGGCATTCTCTCAACCAGCTTCATGAGGAATGCTTTTCCGACAGTCTTGAAGGAGTTCCCACATATGCTGAGCACTTGTTGGCTGCTTTTTCTTCACTTTGTGGTCCAAATAATGCCAAACCATCACAATTGGGTTGAGGTCGGGGGATTGTGGAGGCCAGGTCATCTGATGCAGCACTCCATCACTCTCCTTCTTGGTCAAATAGCACTTACACAGCCTGGAGGTGTGTTGGGTCATTGTTCTGTTGAAAAACAAATGATAGTCCCACTAAGGTAAAACCAGATGGGATGGCTTATCGCTGAAGAATTCTGTGGTAGCCATGCTGGTTAAGTGTGCCTTGAATTCGAAATAAATCACAGACAGTGTCACCAGCAAAGCACCCCCACACCATCACACCTCCTCCTCCATGCTCCTCATCTCACAAAGACACAGTGGTTGGAACAAAGAATCTCACATTTGGACTCATCAGACCAAAGGACAGATTTCCACCGGTCTAATGTCCATTGCTCATGTTTCTTGACCCAAGCAAGCATCTTCTTCTTATTGGTGTCCTTTAGTAGTGGTTTCTTTGCAGCAATTCGACCATGAAGGCCTGATTCACGCAGTCTCCTCTGAACAGTTGATGTTGAGATGTGTCTGTTACTTGAACTCTGTGAAGCATTTATTTGGGCTGTCGTTTTTCTTTGCTTATTTGAGCTGTTCTTGCCATAATATGGACTTGGTCTTTTACCAAATAGGGCTATCTTCTGTATACCAACCCTACCTTGTCACAACACAACTGATTGGCTCAAATGCATTAAGAAGGAAAGAAATTCCACAAATTAACAGGCACACCTGTTAATTGAAATGCATTCCAGGTGACTACCTCATGAAGCTGGTTGAGAGAATGCCAAGAGTGTGCAAAGCTGTCATCAAGACAAAGGGTGGCTACTTTGAAGAATTTCAAATGTAAAATATATTTTGATTTGTTTAACACTTTTTTGGTTACTACATGATTCCGTGTGTGTTATTTCATAGTTGATGTCTTCACTATTATTCTACAATGTAGAAAATAGTAAAAATAAAGAAAAACCCTGGAATGAGCAGGTGTGTTTAAACATTTGACTGGTACTGTACTAACAGACACACATACACCTACATCTACACTCACATGTGCCATTTACAACAACAATGACACACAGACACAGAGAGATACACCCATATGTAGATCGATACGATAACCCACTCAATGTCAAATGGGGGTGTGATGTGTCCAGCAGAGGTTGGAGGTTAATTCAATTGGAACTCCATCAATGCAGAAAATGAATAGAAAAAAGGTCTAATGCGTCACCTGAATTGACTGATTTGAAATGGAACTGAGCCAATGGTTTCGAGTCCAAGGGTCAGGGTTTGTTGGGTGATGCAGGGATTTTCCTGGTAGCCTGGCTGTCTAGTCTGTTTGTGCTTTAGTTGAGTCAATTACTCTCTCTATTCATTCATTGTCATGCCAAAAATGTATGCCAAACATAACAATAATATAGTAGAAGTGTTGATACTGCTACAGCAGAAAGGAATTGATGTGGGCACAGCGCTTCACAGGTAAAGCTGTCTCAATGGCCATGAATTCAAATGAAAAGAAGGGACTACCCACTGGGCACACACGGCTTGAATCAACGTTGTTTCCACGTCATCTCAATGAAATTACGTTGAACCAAAGTGGAATAGACATTGAAATGATGTCTATGCCCAGTGGCTAGGAGGCATGAACGACAGATACCCTGTCTTTTATATGCTACTTCAGCACAAACATTATGTGATCAGGATAGGCTATGCACTGTAAAACGTAAGTGTGACTCACTAAGTAAACTGAGTAGTGGTAACTTAAACACGAGCTGTAGTGATACTAACTTGATACATTAAGTCATACTTACTCAATTCATCCTATACTATATGTCAATGAAACACTAACATTTTAAGTATTACGGTACCTCTTTGATGAGGCTGATGAAGCGCGCTCCGAAGCGCCAGGGTTTGTGGCGGTTGCACTGCAGTGAGCTGACAGTGATCTGTTGCGACTGCTGCACCGTCACCGCTACAACGTGCACCGCATCGTACATCAGCGCTGCGTCCGTCTGCACAGAGAGAGATATGATGTCAGAGCATTATTACATCATGAAACAAAAGGTCTCTCTTGCAAAAGAGATTTGATTAGATCTCCATTAGACAACCTGTATAAGGTTAAATAAAAATAAATACAATAAAGTGCATTGTTATGTCAGAGCATGATTACATCAAAAAGTGTATTATGATGTCAGATCATTATTAGGCCTGCTTCATCAAGGGCATTATGATGTCAGAGAAATTATTAGATCATAAAGGGCATTATAATGGGGCGGCAGGGGCGGCAGGTAGCTTAGTGGGTAAGAGCGTTGTGACAGTAACCGAAAGGTCGCTGGTTCTAATCCCCGAGCCGACTAGGTGAAAAATATGTCGATGTGCCCTTAAGCAAGGCACTTAACCCTAATTGCTCCTGTAAGTCGCTCTGGATAAGAGCGTCTGCTAAATGACTAAAATGTAAATGTAAAATAATGTCATAGCATTTTTTATTAAACCTGCACTGCGTAACTATGCGTGTACAGTCGTGGTCAAAAGTTTTGAGAATGACACAAGTATTGGTCTTCACAAAGTTTGCTGATTCAGTGTTTTAGATATTTTTGTCAGATGTTACTATGGTATACTGAAGCATTCCATAAGTGTCAAAGGCTTTTATTGACAATTACATTACGTTTATGCAAAGAGTCAATATTTGCAGTGTTGACCCTTCTTTTTCAAGACCTCTGCAATCCGCCCTGGCATGCTGTCAATTAACTTCTGGGCCACATCCTGACTGATGGCAGCTCATTCTTGCATAATCAATGCTTGGAGTTTGTCAGAATTTGTGGGTTTTTCTTTGTCCACCGCCTCTTGAGGATTGACCACAAGTTCTCAATGGGATTAAGGTCTGGGGAGTTTCCTGGCCATGGACCCAAAATGTTGATGTTTTGTTCCCCGAGCCACTTAGTTATTACTTTTGCCTCATGGCAAGGTGCTCCATCATGCTGGAAAAGGCATTGTTCGTCACCAAAATGTTCTTGGATGGTTGGGAGAAGTTGCTCTCGGAGGATGTGTTGGTACCATTCTTTATTCATGGCTGTGTTCTTAGGCAAAATTGTGAGTGAGCCCACTCCCTTGGCTGAGAAGCAACCCCAAACATGAATGGTCTCAGGATGCTTTACTGTTGGCATGACACAGGACTGATGGTAGCGCTCACCTTGTCTTCTCCGGACAAGCTTATTTCCAGATGCCCCAAACAATCGGAAAAGGTATTCATCAGAGAAAATGACTTTACCCCAGTCCTCAGCAGTCCAATCCCTGTACCTTTTGCAGAATATCAGTCTGTCCCTGATGTTTTTCCTGGAGAGATGTGGCTTCCTCGCTGCCCTTCTTGACACCAGGCCATCCTCCAAAAGTCTTCGCCTCACTGTGCGTGCAGATGCACTCACACCTGCCTGCTGCCATTCCTGAGCAAGCTCTGCACTGGTGGTGCCCCGATCCCGCAGCTGAATCAACTTTAGGAGACGGTCCTGGCGCTTGCTGACTATCTTGGGCGCCCTGAAGCCTTCTTCACAACAATTGAACCTCTCTCCTTGAAGTTCTTGATGATCCGATAAATGGTTGATTTAGATGCAATCTTACTAGCAGCAATATCCTTGCCTGTGAAGGCCTTTTTGTGCAAAGCAATGATGACGGCACGTGTTTCCTTGCAGGTATCCATGGTTAACAGAGGAAGAACAATGATTTCAAGCACCACCCTCCTTTTAAAGCTTCCAGTCTGTTATTCTAACTCAATCAGCATGACAGAGGGATCTCCAGCCTTGTCCTCGTCAACACTCTCACCTGTGTTAATGAGAGAATCACTGACATGATGGCAGCTGGTCCTTTTGTGGCAGGGCTGAAATGTTTTTGGGGGATTCAGTTCATTTTCATGGCAAAGAGGGACTTTGCAATTAATTGCAATTCATCTGATCACTTTTCATAACATTCTGGAGTATATGCAAATTGCCATCATAAAAACTGAGGCAGCAGACTTCGTGAAAATTAGTATTTGTGTCATTCTCAAAACGTTTGACCACGACTGTACAGGTGTTTTTGGACCCCTCTGGCAAGAATGTAGTATTTATTCTAGATTTGAACACGATATCCCCGAAACCCCAGCTCTCATTGGTCGTCGCCGCAGTGATGACGTAGCATCAACAGCCGCGCTGAGACTTTGTAGCTGTGTTATCTAGTGGAAACCCGCTGTTGCCAATTTTGACATTGTCAGGAAATTTGAGACTGTGGATGCCAATGCGATAACAGTTATGGACAAGATTGAAGATAACTTGATTCTATTTGAGAAACAATGTCTTACGAACATGTAGAACATTTTTTACATGTTATAATATTCACGTTGTCAGCCAAAAAGGAAGCCAACGTTGCTAACTTAGCTAGCTACGTGGTTAACAATAGCTACCATGAATTTCCCTGCCTGGTACAAGATTGCAATATGACAATATTTTCAGTACATTAGTTAAGCAGTGTAAAATAATGAATTTTGACTATCATTGCTCTGCATTCATTGAAAATAACCTTGGCTTTGGCAAGTCCTTTGCCCTTCTCTGACTCCTATACTAGCTAGCTAGCTAATAGCATTACTGGGATGGCCCCTTGATTCTAGAGAGCTATGGCTATGAAGATGTGTATTGATTGTAGAAGTGTAATTTTGACTATCATAGCTCTGCAGTCATGGGAAATAACCTTGACTTTGGCATGCATTCAGTTCTTTGCCCTTCAGAATCGTAGCTATACCAGCTAGCTAACAACATTACTGGGATGGCCCCATGATTCTTGAGAGCTATGGCTATGAAGATGTTGTGTATGGATTGTAGAAGTGTTATACTCTTCTGCATGAACATCCTTATTGATTATACATAAAATACCATGTAGTGAACATTACAATACAATCCTAATAAGTGTTGTTTACATGTTTTTTTTCTGTTTGAAGAGCGGTAGAAAAATAATAAAAATAAAAAAAATAATTGGTCATTTAGCAGACGCTCTTATCCAGAGCGACTTACAGGAGCAATTAGGGTTAAGTGCCTTGCTCAAGGGCACATCGACAGATTTTTCACCTAGTCAGCTCAGGGATTTGAACCAGCGACCTTTCGGTTACTGGCACAACGCTCTTAACCACTAAGCTACCTGTCTTATGTAGACTGTCCAGTGGCAGAGGCAGAGCTGCAGAAATAATTTAATAGGAAGACCTTGAAAGGGCTGCCTGACTGCAAGAAAAAAGAGACTGGCTGAGATGAAGGTTAGTAAAAATCTTTCATCTATGGTACTATTTACCCATTTCACAACATTATAATCATATCACACAACATTTGGCTACATTCTGTAATTTCATGTTGCTTTTTTTCTTATCATTACAGCTTAAATTGCAAGAACTGTCTTTTGAAGAAAGGGGAGAGGTGCTGGAGCTGGCTGCTTCCCGTCTACCTGGAGTGATTTTTGACATCATGGAGTACCGGAGAGCTATCCTAGGGTCTCCGGACAACCTCGCTGGTGCATCTGCATGAATTGCAGGGAGGCTCCTGCACATTATAACACACAACCGCTGCCATTTCACCACTGCAATATTCAATTTATTTATTACCAAGTACTGAATGTTTACATAACAGGTTAACACTTCTCTTTGAATGACTAAATGTGACCGACCGCCTCGATTCGGTCTTATGTAGCAAAATTTGAAATTTTGTTTTTTACATTGGATAAAAGTAGAGACTCAGAGCTAGAAAATGGTATGTCATACATTGCAGTTGAGGAACAATGGGAAAGTAATTCTGCTTTGAAAGTTAATAAACTTGTAACCCCACTTTTGAGAAAATGGCCCTTGAATGTTTTGGTACACCTACTGGAGAGCTCTTATTTGTCTATACCCATTCAGCATCGTTCACACCCTCTTAAGCTTTAGCCCCACCCATCTCTTTAAGGATTCACGTTTGCTATATCAAATAAAATCTCATTTTATTTGTCACATGCATAGGATACAGAAGGTGTAAACGGTTCAGTGATAGTACTTGAATACTTGCATAGTAGCAATATCAAAAACAGAAAGTGTCCAGATAAAAATATTGTATAAATATTTTATCGTTATTAGATGACGCTTACCTGACACACTTGTCTATATTGATGGGTCATGTGAAGGAAATGCTATAACCACCCCTCACCCACATCTAGCTAAGTGGATGGGTCACTATTGTCTAGACATGTAAACATGTTCATGAAATACAATCAATGGCCGTAATCACCCCAGACACACCTGCTAATTTGATGGGTCATGTAATAATCTGGCCGAAGTGGAGTCTTTTGTTTAGACATGTAGGTAGCTAGCTAGCTAAACAATGAACCGGCATAACCCCAACTCATACTACTACCAATACAAACATTGTCATAGCTGTAGTATGAATCTGCAGGTAGCTAAAGCTAACAAACTAGGTTAAATGTTAGCTATCTAACATTAGGCTATAACTAGCAACGCAAATGGATTTCTGATTCAAATAATATTACTATACAGATCATACACGTAACGTTAGCTAGTGAGCCAGCAAGCTAACGTTTGCTAACTAACTAACAGTACATTTTAACTTGCAATAGAAATGACTTTCTGACAAAATTAGAAACTTATATGTGGAAAATTTAGCTAGACTCTTACCCGTATACATGGCTGAATGCTTCATGGGAGACTGGAACCATTCAACTCCATTTTGTTTGTAGCTACATTTTGTTTGGCCAGCCTTGTTTCACACTGACCGTGTTGTGTGCAGAAAGTAGCCCATCACTTTTTCCTACTGATCTGTCGATATCGCCTGCTAAATTCAGGGCATCAATGTTGTTGAGAAAAGTAGCAAAAATGTTGTAGTTCTCGATGGCTAATGTTATATCTTTCAAAAACAGCGCGGTAGAAAGGACTGTCAACACATACTGAACAGCTCATGTTATAGACAGAAGCATGCTACATGGCAGACCAATCCAAACTCATCTCCCGGCCTGT